TTTTTTTAAAGAAAGTGAAAAAGTAGTCCATATATATAATATATATAAAGTCCATATATATCTGTTAGCATATTTTAGTTGAGTCATAAAGATATGAACAAAATCACTCATAATTCTTAACATCACAGACTTCAGGAAAGCTGAATCTGTGTGGGAAGTCAGAAACTATTAACAGTTTTTTAATTTGTCTCTAAATTTTTTTAGCTCATTATAATGAGAAAACATTACATTTCTGTGATTTAAAAAAATAACGATGAGGTTTAATAAATGTATAAATCCAGGAACCACAAGCAGCTCCATGTGACACATATATGGAATAGGAGTGGGACTTACAAAACTTAAAAGAATCTAGAATCCAAAGAGCCACAATTCAAAATACCTCATGATCCTGTCTGAGAGCTTGGCTAGCTTCTGTGAGCCACTGTGGAGGTAATAAACATCTGTAGGCACACTTATGATTAACATCATTGGATTTGTGTGACATGAAGAATTTTCTTGCAGGAAATGATCACACTTTAAAAAACATGATTTTTAATATTTAGTGTGTGCATATAGCTGAGTGTAAACTGGACTTGGTAGCAAAGTCCTTTAAAGTAGGGACTGATATTCTGACCCAAGCCACCGACTGCTCTTCCTTTGGATATGGAGTGGAAAAAGAGGCTCCAGCTAATGGGAATCACCTACAGGGATGAGAGAGGGCTCATAGCCTGCAGGCCAGTGTCCTTCAGCCTGAGTTCAAGGAGCTCTCCAGAGAGCATAGGTTGAGAACAACCCTACACAGACTCTGTCCCCAAGGCACTCCATGGCCATGTCTTCAGTCACCACTAGGGAACTTCTCTTGATAATCACTTTGTGTAACATCTGAGAAAAAAATTAAGTATCTCCTGAGAAAATGGGAAACAGGGCTGACTACCAATACAGAAACCCATAAAAAGCCTAACCTAATCTCTTACTTAAACCACATGTTCCTGGAAAAGCAGCTTTTGCTGTCTGAGATGTGTATAAATTTGGAGATCTAGTCAGGAATTGGCTTATGTCTTTTCTACATGAGAATGAGAATTCTGAGAATGAGACACTGAATTTGACAATTCAGGCAACCTCTAAGGCAGAAAGGCATTGCAGGTTGTATACCCCTTTAAGAGAGTGTACGTTTGTTTTGTTTGTTTGTTTGTTTTCAGCTTTTTCCAGAATTGCCTAGGGCTTTCTCACCAGCTAAGCCTGTCTCAACAGAGCACTGATTACCTTAGTACAAGAAGGAAAAAAGATGAATATATTTCGTCTCAGAGATACGGTATCTAGATTTTGACATTTTGTTTATCTCAACCTTTAAGCTTATCTTGCTTCAATATGGTAAACCCCCCATGCTCTCCAAATCTCAAAGCTTGATTCACTATAAAGTGGGGACAATTTTAAAGTGCAGTTAATTGTTCTGCATCAGATCATCCTCCTTTAATCTCACTCAGTTTGACTTCCTGAATGAAGAACAACACAAAACAAATCAAAACCAACAACATGTTCCAAGATTAAGGTGTAAACAATGACAAGACCAACTGGGAGTAAAAATTCATTAATTTGGTACAGTGACATCTCCCTCTGTCATCCTGGTTGTTGATCGAGTGAGACTTAAAGCCCTAGGACATCACTAAGGGCATCTGCTTTGACTTTTGCCTACTTCAATGCCCCAGGGGCATTGGTCAGTTGCCCTCTTCTGACTAGTCAGCTGATAAAAGTTGTACAGAATAAGGACTGAGGCCAGGCTTGGTGGCTCAGCCTGTAATCCCAGCACTCTGGGAGGCTGAGGTGAGCGGAATGCCTGAACTCATGGGTTCAAGACCAACCCAGGAAACCCAGGCAAGACCTCATCTCTATCATAAATCAAAAATTAGCCGGGCATGGTAGCAGCCTGTAGTTCCAGCTACCTGGAAGGCTGAGGTAGAAGGATTGCCAGAGCCCAGTAGGTTGACGCTGGGGTGGCAGTGAGCCTGCATGCCACTGCACTCCAGCCTGGGTGGTGGAGTGAGACTCCAACTCAAAAAAAAAAAAAGAATAAGGGCTCAATTGAAGAGTACAAGTATCTATTTGTCAGGCAAGAAGCCGTTTCCCTATTACATGGTATTTTTCAGGAATGGAATAAATGCAGCTTAGAATGTTAGCTGTCAGAAAACCCTATTCATTGTGCGTATATCTATATGAAATATTCTGTTGTTTGTTTGATTTGTTTAGGTATAGGAAGACCCACCAGAAGACAGAGCTCTGAAAGACAGATGAGTGATGAATGTATGGAGCTTACTAACATGTTTGTAAGTCTGTGAGCTACTACTTACTAATTGTGTAACCATGGGCACACCATAAAAATTAATTAAGAGGATGCAACAACACATGTCTAGCACTTAGCATCATGCCTGACACATGAGAATGCTCAATAAAAGTTGTTATTGTCGTCACTATTACCATTGTCATCATTATCATAAAACCACTGGGTTTAAGGACTTACAATTGAGAACAGAAAATACACAAATGAACAAAGTAAAGAAGGATCACTTATATCATTATTTCAACACTTATGGTTGAATGACAATTGGTCTATTTACCCTAGACCTATTTTCTTCTGGTATCTGGCATTTCTGGGTGGCTGCTTAAATGCCTCATTTGATATAATTACATAAGGCAGGTTACATGCAAGAAATTCTCTCTTACCTTAACTGTCTAGAGATCTTTGTATTTATCTAGAAAGGACAGAACTTATCTGCTGTTGAACTATGCACATACCCTCCCTGGACTAGAACAATCCAAGGCATAAAGGAGTTAATCAACACATCTCTATTGAATAAACAAAAGAAAAATAAAAGAAAGTTATCTGTGGATGACCATGCAGTTTGTTGTGTTCAATGCTCTGTTCAAAAACGGACACTTATTATCTATGTGCTAAGTCCTGTGCTCAGTGCCATGGGTACCATGGAGATGTCCAAGACCTAACAGGGGTCACAACCCCCAGTTCTGGGCATAGGCGGGTTTTCTGCAGAAAAAAAAAAAGTATGAATTGGTGCAAGAGAAAGTAAGTCCATGCTTACTTATCTATTTCCCTCAAGCAGGACAGAACTAGATGACTAAGAACCATGAGGCTCTTTCTTTCTGATCCCTGTCATCTACCCATCCAGGCCTGCCCCACACCCCCACAAAGGCTCCCTAAACACCGAGTATAAATATCGTGAGTTGCTCAAAAATGCCAGTCCTACCAAAGTAATGTGATGTGTTATAAGCATTTGCCCCCTTATTCTCTGTCTTCTTTTCTAAATGACATTTTCAGTAAGACATGTGCTCTTCCAATTAAAGTACTAAAATGACCAAATTCTAATAGTACAGAGTATCCCCAATAGTCATTTCCAGTATATGACAAATGTCTATTATTGGTGTACTGGAGAAGCTAATTACGTATCAGCAAATGTATTGTGTCTGTGGAGATATATACATACACATATAATCTATGGGGGATTTGTTCCTAGACCTCCCTACCCATGCATAACAAAATTGACAGGTGCTCAAATCTCTGATATAAAATGATTTAGTATTTGCATATAACCTATGAATATCTTCCTGTATACTTCAAGTCATCTAGATTACTTATAATACCTAATACAATGTCAATGTTATATAAATAGTTGTTACACTGTATTATTTTACTTGTATTATTTTTAGTGTTGTGTTATTCTTTTTTCCAAATATTTTTCTATCCTAGGTGGGTTGAATTAGCAGATGCAGAACCACAGATAGGAAAGGCTATATATATATATATATAGTCATGCACAGCTTAAGTTTAATGTGGTAGATACATTCTGAGAAACTCAATCTTAGACAATTTCGTCACTGTGCAAACATCTTAGAGTGTACTTATACAAACCTAGATGGCATAACCCACTACTCTTCTAGGCTATTTCTCCTGGGCTACAAACTTGTCCAGTATGTTACTATGCTGAATACTGTAGTTAACTGTCACACAATGGTAAGTACTCGTGTGTCTGAACATAGAAAAGGCACAGTAAAAATGCAGTACTACAATCTTATGGCACCATTGTGGTAAATATGGTCTGTCATTGACCATGACTGTATATGTCCTCCAGTGAAATTGATTCTAAGATTGAAAAGCTAGTGAAATTGATTCTAAGATTTGCCACACCTTCCCAAGCTTCACTCAAGGAGATTGCTTTCCCATAAGGGAGGCCTGATACCAATGGAATATGATGCCATTTTTATTTCATTAGTGCTTTCTAAGATTGGAAAGAATGTTCTTCCTTGGCTGGGACATCAGTATCAATTCCCCAGCAAAGGGAAAGAAGGACGCTGAACAGAAGATTCAGCAGTCTAGAACAGCCTGCTCCTCAGGCCCCTCCAGCATGCCCTTCCCACTTACATGGGTAGAGAGTTATGACTGCTAAAAGCCTCTATCACACTGAGACAAATTTGGAAATCTTTTAATTTTCTAATATACAGACTACACTTTATATGGGCAGATGCATTGCAGAAAACAAAAGCTGGCTTTTACTCATGAATGTATGTATATTAGAAAACATATCAGGGACACATAAACTTACTTAAAGTCATGGAGTTTCTGATGAAGAGTTAGAATTTAAACAATACAAGATATGCCGGCCCCTTCATGCACTAAAGAATTGTACTTTTATTAAGGCTCCTTCACTCTTGCTTCTACTGCAATAAGCTCAGAGTTCAATGAGAACTGTGGAAACCAAAATGCATAAAAACAACCTACTGAAGTTTAGCCAAAAAAAAATGACTGACTAAAAGAAGGGGTCTATAAAGAAGGCTCTGGTGTGCCTGGAGATAACACCCAACCCAACAGTAAAGGAAACAAAAAAGGAACAGAGAAAGCAAGGAGTGCACGTAAACAGAAACTTTCCTGCCAGGAAAAAAGGGGGTGGAGAGATCAGTAGCAGGCATTATGCTTAAATAACATTGTAATTAGTAGCTCAGTTTATCTACTGTACCTCCAAAGTGAGCTCTCTGTGATGCTCCCCAGGTTATAGTCATAGAGCTTTGTCAAAATGAGAATCACCTAAAGGCAAAAGAAGAAATCATGGTTAGTCTCAAACAATTACAATCCCTAAGAACTGAAATGGCCCAAGGGAGGACTTAGAATTCCTTTAATGGGTGCTTAACATAATTGAATGAATTGTTACAGCATTTGCTACACTAACTGGGAAAGGGCTGGCATGACATCCCATCCTGCCTTCCACTGAACTGCTGAGGCCCATCCTCTCCCCTACCTTTCTCCTTATCATCCTGCAGCAAGAGGCCCCTCCAGGTGTTTCTTACCCTGGTAGGTTTAACACTTTCAGGGAAGGCTGGTAGAGCATTCAAATATGATACCCCCAAGTAGCCACTGAGTAGATGGTTAGGAAAGAGGAAGGTCAGTGATGATGTCGTTCCCAGCCCTACTAGCTGGGTCACACTAAGACGGTTACCTAACTTCTTTGAATGTCAGTATCCCTATCTACTAAAGGGGACAAAGAGTAATGCTATCTCCCTGACAAAATTATTGTAAGAAATTAAATGAGTTAGCCGGGCTCGGTGGCTCAGCCTGTAATCCCGCGCCTTGGGAGGCTGAGGTGAGTGGATTGCCTGAGCCCACGGGTTCGAGACCCACCTGGGCAGCGAGACCTCATCTCTACAATAAATCAAAAATTAGCCAGGTGTGGTAGCGCGCGCCTCTAGTTCCAGCTACTGGGGAGGCTGAGGCGGAAGGATCGCCAGAGCCCCAGCAGGTCAAGGCTGCGGTGGCCGGAAGCATGCCATTGCACTCAGGTCTGGGCGACAGATTGAGACTCCAACTAAAAAAAACAAAAACAAAAACAAAAACAAAAAACAAAACAAAAGCAAAAGAGAACACAAGAAATACACTTTTCATCTGGGAGTCTTTGATGCTGTTAGTATAGAAGCGCTGGGCAAAGAAAAGGGAAGTTGCTGAAAAGCTGATCAGTCCCACTGAAACTCATCCCATCACAGCAGCTTGAGAAGGCAGCTTCTTTTTGTTCCTTCAGCAGCAATGACCAGGGTCCACCTGGTTACTTGAAATTCATGAGCCCAAGGACATTTGGGAAGATTCAACAGCACTGTGTGTTTCTAACCACTGATTTCCCCAATCTCACTTGCTCTTCCTCAGTAAGAAAAGAACGTAATGCCTTTGCTCAGTTTTCTTTTGAGGTTCATATTTTCCTCCTGGTGCTTATAACTTAGAACATTTGACCCAACCCAGCTGTTTCCAACTTGGTAGAAAAATGTTGACATTGATTTCCTGGATTTTCTCTGAAGGCAAAGGGATCAGTTCTAGCCATAGTGAGCCTAGAGTATTCTAACCCAAATTCTGACACTACAAGCTACTGAGGAGTGCCGAATCCTTCCAAGTTCCACTCTACCAGCCCAGTACTTGATTTACTAAAAAGGCACAAACATCAGTGAACAGATTCTTAACGCTTTTTTCACAGCAAGCCAACTGGAATTCCATGACGTTAGATTAGTTCTGATTTCAAAGAAACTAAGAACTGTAGTAACCTAAAGATAGGCAGAGATCCCTGCAGACCTGTCCTCTAAGGCCACCCCTGTCCTACACCACAGCACGGCTTCATTCAAGGATCTGTTTAAAACTTGCTTCTTTAGCAAAATGTGAGCATGTGTGAGGTGCAAGGAACCCTATGGGCATATCAGATGGCATGCCTGTGGTGTGGGCATATGCTTAACAGATCCATGTGCCAATTAAGTTGCTCTAAGTGCTAAATTTCAATCACCGCCATCCCAGGAACGCTGATCAGTAGCAGCAGGGAAGCTGTTGGTTTGAAGACACAGAATGATGTTGCTGCTTCACCTCGGTACAATTTTGCCGAATAGGCCTATAAATCCCCCACCAAGAAAATGGGGGTGCGGGCATAAAGCATTTCTAGGTAGTTGCTCTCTTGATGCAATATGGTAGTAAACTAAATAATGAAGTTCAGCTGGTCACAGGCCGTGTCTCCCTCTCATCTGATGAGGGAATTCAGAGACGCCGCAGAGAAGGAACCCTTTAACCCAGCATGTAATGGAGAGGAGCCACTCACACATGCGCACAGAAATTGTTTAAGCAATTCCCAGGGCAGGAAGGCAGGAGGTAAAACCCACGCCCTTCCTTTTTTTGCAAGGTTAGGAAAACTAAAATGCCAGTGATACATTTAGGCAGTTTATCAATACTGCACCAGAAGAAGAGTCCTTTATGGCATTTCAAAGCATAGCTACCTGAATCAATTTAGTTAATCCTTCTGTTTTCAGAATAAGAGCAAGGAAGAGGGACAACTGCTAACCTTTTGTTATGTTTTCAATTGACTATTTGAGATCTCTTTTCCTTTCTTTTCCCTGTTTACTACCTATGTGTATTATTTACCATCTTACTTCTGGATAATGATGCACCCTTATATTAGATCAGTTTAATTTGTTTGTTTGCTTTTTCTATTCTAATTAACAATACTGTTTAAAAAATTGGCTCCTGTTAAAGAAGCCACAGCCAAAATCACTACATTAAATAAGAAAAAGAAGTCATAGCCAAAATCACTACATTAAATGAGAAAAAGTGAAAAATGCAATTGCCCGCCTATTTTGGCCCTAACATCTACTATTTTTGTGTATTTTTCAAACTTAAGAAAAATCCTTCTTTTTTTTTTAAGGTGGGGTCTTACTATGTTGCTCAGGAGTTTTCTTGCCTCAAGGAATCTTCTTGCCTCAGTCTCCTATGTAGCTGGGAATACAAGGGCTATAAGTGTAAACCATTGCACCCAGCTTTCAACAAAACTTTTTAATCAATGAAATGTTACATGTACTTAAGTAACATATAAATGGTAATTTATTGTTATTTATTTGGTAAACAGTTTTCACACAAAGACTTAACTCTATGAGTTCAAGTGTATAGCATTTAATTATTAATATAAATTCAATATTTTACTCATGCAAAGTAAAATATGCATCAGCATCCCATTTATTTCTATATCTTGTTTTTATTAGATAGTGCCAAATATCACTGGTTCAAAACAGTAAGTGGTGACCATATGGTACTAGCTTTTTATGGTTCCACTCCAAATCTTAGTATATTATCTTTGAATAGCTATAATGCAAGTATCTACGGCTGGATAACCTCCAACTGTACCAGGACCTCGGCATCCAGCTATTTCTAGGACTTTCCACAGTGACATGTCTCAAGTATTCCCCTAGCCAGTTTAAAAACAGCTGTTACCACATGAAATCTTCCCTGTTCTTTTGCTGTGACTGTTTTTGCCACATCCATTGCTCACAAAGCTTCTGGGAGGAATTTCACTTTGTCCAAACTTATAGAGAGGATGCCAGTGCTCACTCACCAGGCGTCTGCTCTCAAATCCTTGGAGGGTATAAGTGTGCAAGAAACAGTGCCAGGTTCTGTGCAGGAATGAGTGAGAGGCTCCAAGGGAGTGAGCAAGGGCTTTCTCCTCAGCACTAAGTCAAATTATCATAACCTGGACTCCCAAATGATCAGGACCTTCCAAAGCTCTATCTGAATAATTCTATCAATTCTGACCCCTCACCCCTCAGTACAGGGAGAGGGTGGGAGGGAGTGAGAAACCATTACAAAGGATCCTGTGGGAGAAGAATACCATTCACTCTCCTGTCTTCTAGCCCTAACTTCTTTCTGCACTGGGTTACAAAACATAATCATTCATGGAGATAAACAGAAACTAGTATGTGGATGACCAGTAGTTACAGAATCAAAAGACAAGGAAAATATTCTGTTGTATCAAAACAGCAGAGCAAGAAGCCTTATGTCCAGGTATGTGTTAAAATGAATTAACCAGGCAGCAGCATAAATTAATACACAGGCAGCCTATTTTAGGCCAATTATTACTTATGTCATACCTTTGAATATGACAGCATTTTTTCATTATTAACATAAAATATAATTTGGAAACAAAGCACCAAACATTTAAATGACCCCTAGAACACCTTCCTGGTAACCTGGTTCTACACAGCATACTTTTCACAACTTCTGTGTTAGCTAAGTACAGGACTGCACACTTTTTTAAGCAGCATTAAAAATTTTTCATTTTTGATTGTTTAAAAAATAGCATCTTCCCCCTTTTCTTTACTAAATCAGATAATTTACCTCACAGGAAGAAGGATGGAAGGTTGGAAGGTATCAGTGCATTTATGAGGACATTTGACCTGGCTATTGCCCTTTACCTCATCTTAGGGAAATCTTTTAAAAAGGACATATGTCCTCATTTTACAATGATAAAGAATTTGCATTCTTTTCTTTTATCTCTCTGTGTCCAACTTTGAAAGTGGTATTTAATCTCAAGGGAAACAAACATGTGGGCTTAGGACCCTTAACAGTGAGCAATTTGGGCCACAGAATCCTAAAGTCTCTTTTATTATGGGAGATCTACAGTTCCAAATCCTAAATAATGTAGACAGTGACAGGGTTCTTGTCTATGAGGCAACACAATTTCAAGCCTGGCTTGGTGGCTCATTCCTGTAACCCAGCACTTTGGGAAGCTAAAATGAAATGATTGCCTGAGCCCACGAGTTTGCGACCAGCCTGGGCAATTTGGCAAGACCTCGTCTCTACAATAAACCAAAAAATCAGCCAGGTGTGGTGGCACATGCCTGTGGTTCCAGCTTACTTGGAAGACTGAGGTGGAAGGATCACCTGAGCCCAGCAGGTAGAGGCCGCTGTGGCTGTGAGCACACCAGCCTGGGTGAGAGTGAGACTCCAACTCAAAAGAAAAAAAGAAAGACAACACAATTTCTAGTATAGTCCTCTCAATCATTAGTGATTCAGGGCTGGTTTGGGCAGGTGTTTCTGTAACTGTAACACATGGGGAGACTCCACAGAATTCAGTCATGCTACAATTCATAATTGTACTTGCATCGGATAGGCCACAGTCTGGCTCGGGCGAGCAAAGGGAAAGCCATATTGAAGATGCCAGCAGGTTGGGTGGGGTTCACACTGGCTATCTCCATCCTTCTTCTACCAGCTTCCAGCAGGTCTTGGTGTTTCTTCAT